ACCCTTTGGTTGGTTGATGATGCATGGAGGGGATTGGAACCATGGTAATGAGATGATATACAATGGAATGAATGTAAAACTAAAACTCTCTCATGTAAACTATCATATAATGCACAATAAAACATTAAAAAAAAAATGATCATCAGGAAACCAAAATCTATTATGGCTTTCTCTAGACACTCCTGATTAGATTCCAAGTGACAGGAAAAACCAGATCAAAACCAAATAGAGCTGGAAGCAAGATACACAATCCTAATGAACCCTTGGAAATCCAAGTATCAATCGGCCCGTATCTAAGCTCAATTAGTTCTTCCAGAACAAAATATTTCATGAGGTTATAAGAAACTAGTTTGTGGTCTGGTATATGCTATGGAAAAGAATAACAACAGTCCCTTTATCGAGTCTACTGCTTAGTGCAGCCAGGGCACCATGTGGGAATCTTGAGAGGATTAAATAAAGATGCATGATGCCAAGTACCTAAGTATCTAGTTTGGGAACCAGCACACAACTACTGCTCTGCATGTGTTAGTCCTTCCTCAATTCAAGATCTCAGGCTTATCAAAACAAAGATTCTCTGATGGTTTGAAAAACAAATAAACCGAGATAAAAAAAACCTTAAATGGTGATATAGACAATATTGCTAAAAGTACTGTTTGAAAGTAGCAAATGGAGAGCATAAAAATGAAGACTAGATAGTTCTAAACATCTCATCCTTCATGACCATTTACAACTTGCATATTTTCTGAGGTTGTCTTTAGGGAAAAACAGGCCAAATGCAAACTAATTCCATTTGAGAATAAAGCTCAGCAATGCTTTCAGCAGGGGAACAGTTCCTTTCATAAAACCGTTACCACTGGGTGCACCTCTAACGTTCAACAATTCTAGTTCCCAAACAACCCGGTAGGAACAAAACTCCAAAGCTAATTTTTTCATTGGAATTGTTAAGTAATAGGAGTTCAATAAATCATTTGCCTTCTAATGAATAAAAAAAAACAGACTTTCTAACATGCGTTAACATTTCCTCTAAGAAATGTTCTAAGAAAACGAAACTATATTTACTGATGAACAGAACACTGTAATACTATAGTGAAGTTTTCTTAAGGCTTAAGGATAAACTCTTTAGGAAATAAAGGTATGAAGGAAAGAGCAAGGTTTGGTCTAAGAAATCTTAAGATCAAGTACTAATGTTGTCACCTACCGTATGGCTTTCAGGAAATCACTTAACTTCTCTGGAACTAGCATGATTATTTATGCTAACTGATACACTTTGGTGTCCCTCATATACACACACACATACATATATACACATATGCCAATCTGATATATACACACACACACACACAAATATTTACATACACATAACAATCCAATGAGATGGATTGGTACAGTGGAGGCAGCAAAGGGCTCAGGCGTAGCAACAATTGTGAGGTTGGCCCAGGACTGGGCAGTGTTTCCTTCTGTTGTGCACAGGGTCGCAATGAGTCAGTACTGACTCAATGGCACCTAACAATAACATTCACATACACACATACATGGATCTTTATTAAGCTGCATTAAGAAAGAGAGTGAGAGTGAGTGTGCGTGTGTTGGGGTGCATGTTGGGTGTTTTCATACTCGTGCTTCATTCTCAGTAGCTAAGACATTTTACATAGCCTCATAATACATAAATTAACCAAATAAGCCTTTAAAGCCTTACAATGAGACATTAATATTCAATGCAGCTATAATCTCTTTCTTACAAAACATGGACCCAAAGAGTGGTTTCAAGTAAGGTTTTTAAAAAGCAAAATGTATTATATTCACCATCCAGCTTTTCCATATGAACACATCAAAAACTCATACACACAAATGAAAACTCATAGGTCCATTGTAATACACTGTACCACTTCTGAATACAACACTTAGCTCAGGCTTACTACCCTGACAAATAAAGGAAAGCACTTTATGAAGCCAATTTAATTGCGAGGTGACAGAAAACATACAGCCATTCTCTTTAGCCTTATCATTGAATTGGCTTCAGCTCCAATCTCTGGCAAATCCCACTCAACAGAAGAAATTAACCAGGTCAGCAGAACAGGTGCTTCGTTGTGTCTGTCAAGAGCCTGGCATCACCACAATTACTTGCACACAATGAAGCAATAATCTTTACAGATCATCTCTCCCAAGAAGCATATTGGGGAGGGGGAAGAAAACTGAAGAGAGGCGGGGGAAAGTGGGAAGAAGAGGAATAGGTGGCAAGGAGAAAAGGCAAGAAAAGAAAATGAATGTGCAGCTGCCTTGCAGCTCAGCAGATGTCGGACTGTGATGTACGAGGCTAGGATAAGCTGTCGTAGTCTGCTGCCAAAGAGTGGTAAGTGATTAAAGCCGCACAGTTCTAAGCACCATATTTAGAATCTGCGGGGTTTCAAGACTTGCACCCATTCCTTGCTGTGCTGCCAGATGTTGGCAACTGGTCCAGTTCCTACTGATTGTGCATGGATGGAAGCAGTTGGTACAGCAGCAAAGCAATCTGGAACGCTTCCGGAGATGCTGTACATTAACAAGTGTCACCCATCATTCACCTTTACAGAAGGCTGAAACAACTCCAATTTGCTGCCACTTCCCTCTTGGGAAGCAGCCAAGATAAAGTTGTGCCTGGCAGTCCCATTTGTTTCACTCAGGTGTTTCAGCTGCCTTGCTGACCTCTATTAGTTTAAGTTTTAATTTAGATTAACCCCAGCACCCCAATTAACCAGCAAGGAAAAAAGCTAAGATGTGACTAGTCATAACTCTGAAATCAGAATTTATTGCAGTTAGAATTATTAATTGGGATGAAGGGCCAATTAAGTAATGCTATTTCTTTTTTAAACAGACCTTTAGGCAAAGGGAAAAAAATCTTTCAGACTAAGGACTGCCAGTGGAAGCAACTTCTCCCCAATCATTCCAGTTTATTTTATTAAGCCTATCTAATTTATGATACACTTTCCATTGAGCAATGCACATTTCAACTAATGGGGACTGGACCATTTTTGATTGTCTCCCATGATCTCACACAATTATACAGTATTAATATCTCCTAGCAGGTACTCCCTTAGACACTCCAGCACAAAACAGAGTTCCCTACTCATCTGACAATTGAATAGAGTAAGAGAAGAAAAGGAGAAAGGACTGAAGACCTCTGACTGGGAATACCTGAGGCCACACCAATCCTCTTTCCTACACACCCTCATCATTACTTGGAAGACTTCCATATGGCAATAATTTTATCAGATACTGCAGAGTGAATAGAAAACTAATAAAAAGTCTCTTTCTCTTTTTTCAGAGCAAAACCACAGATATCCCCAACATAGAATCACTGTTGCTACTGGCTTTACAATGTAATTTCCCTAGGAAGTGCCTTTCTTTCATAGGTCATATACACAGTACAGCTGTTACGGCTAACCTTTAACAAATAGCTGCAAACTCTTTGGCAAAAGTTCTGTAACACTAAAAATTCAGCAGAGAAAAAAAGTTAGCTTGAAAATCAATGGCTCAACAAGAGCCGGTATACCACTGCTGAAGAGCATCCTCGACCCGCCACACAGTTAAGTACATTTCATTAAGACGTATAACTTTATCAAGAGACTCAGGATTATAAGAAATTATTTTATTTAGAATAGCCTAAATGTTTAGTCTACCTTAGCACTTATCAGCACCATGACAAACAGCAGAATCCCAGCAGATAATACAAGAATGCCAGGAAAGAACTGGGGAGACAATTGTGAAGAGACACTGAGAACTTGACAATAATTCAACTTCTTCCAATTCTTTCTGCCTTCAAAGTGCTACATTACTATTATAATCAACTACAACAGTCGCTCTCAGTACATACCTAAAGGATTAGAACAGTCACAAAAAAAATCAGAGTCAAGAGATGTAGATCCAGAAGTATCATTCAAGAATGCCAGGACCCAGTCCTTTACACCCATATCTCATTCAAATAGTAATGTGACTAGAAACCAACTAACAAAAAGTCCTCCATTACCAGCTAAGAAAGAATAAATCTGACTCAAAGTAGTCAAAACCAGTTTTACAGATCATTTACACTCAGCATCAACTAACCAAGTAGCTATAGCTGCTTGTGTTTCATAAAGGACAAATAATACAGAAGAAAAGCAACGTACCCAGAGCTATACAATAGGTTGTACACAAGAGTTCTAACTCTGATTCTATCCTCCATTCAGAGTAAGTTATCATTTTGTTCAGAAACTTCTACAAGCCGTTTAAAATACTAAAACCTAATTTGTAACAAAAGAATATTAAAAACAAACAAAAAACCATACCTGGTGGTAAAAGTCATCATCATCAAAGATTTCTTCATCCAAGTCCTTCAGGTGAGCATTGACAGGGGCCTGAGGAAGGATCTCCTAAAACAACGGGAGAGGAAAAAAAGGAAGGTTTATCAAAATCGTGTAGCTACTGTAAGTAATGTGTATATGGGTCAAAGCACGGTTTTCCTTAAGATATAAAGAGCTCTTAAAATAAAAAACTAAAAAACAAAGTTCAGGAAAATATACTACCACTGAGTTGGTTCCAACTCACAACAATCATAAAGGACAGAGTAGAACTCTGCCCCAGAGGGTTTCCAAGGCTGTAAACCTTTGTGGAAACAGACTGCTATATCTTTCTCCCTCTCAGAGTGGCCAGTGAGTTTGAATCACCAATCTTTTAGTAAATAGTTGAGCGTTTTTACCACTGCACTACCAGGACTCAAATTGCCAATGATAATATGAAAATATATGCAAATTAAGATGAGAAGGCACCCATTTCTCACCTGTAAGACGGGCAACACTTGGTACCAAAGAACGCAGCTAGTGGAAGTGAAAATGAACAGAACACTTTGGGAGACAATTTGGCAACATGCATCAAGACTTAAATGTATGCATACTTGTTAGATCACTAACATTTCCATTTCAAGAAAGTGATTCATTGTCCATAAAAATACAAAGTGAAGTGTCCCAAAATGCTTACTGTAGCACTATTTATAACTGAAGACAAATATCTATTTTTGAATAAATTATAGTATACACCCATAAAATAAAATTCTCTGTAGTGATCAAGAAAAATGATGTAGATCTCCATATGATATGGAGAGTATCTAGGATACTCTTTAAATATATTAAAATATTAATCTATGAAAATTTAAAGAGTATGATAATTTATATAGTTGTAATATTGTTTGTATATCTATATATACACACATATCCTATTTAATAAAGAAAAAAAGGACAATTATATATTTATATACTCATGTATATGTTGTGTGTGTATGTGTGTTGTTATAGTCATAGAAAATATCTGAAGCTCTGTTATAAACTATTAATAGTGGCTAAATCTGAGGAATGGAAGTTTTGGACTAGAGAGAATTTTACTTGTCATTTTAAATTCTTCTGAACTTAAAAAATGTATTGAAGTATATATTTCTTTTGTAATTAAAAAAATAAAAAACATTTCCGTCATCCTTTCTAGAATATATAAACATCCAATAAAAAGCCTGAGGTACATATACTCTCTCCAATTCTGACATTTCTATTTTGTTTTAAAACTAAATTTTAAAGATAAGATAATGAATGCTTCCATTACCAGAATTACATACCAAACTCAAAATTAAAAGACTATTCAACACATATTAATTAGTTAATAAGAGCTCCTTTTATGTTGGTTTATATTTTCCTCCCACATTTCTCTCAACAATTCAGAAAGGTATTTTTTTCCTCTCATTCTTTCACTAAATTCTTACACCAAGACTAATACCTACAAGAAGATGATCAAATTTTGCAGTTAATTACCCACATAATCATCCTGCATCACAGGATTCTTACCGGTTGTCCTGGCAAACTCTCAGGGACAGGCTGAGCCGTCGATTCAGGTCTGCCAAGAACTCGGTAGATGGAGCGCTTGGTCTGTGTCCTTCGAAGTAATCTTTCTTTGTCCATCAGAATATGATCGATCTGAGTCAAGATTGAGCGTTCAAAGGCACCAAAACCCTGCAACAACATTCACCAGTGTCAGATAATGCAGAAAGTCAGTGCTGAAAGCAGCTACATTGGTTTCTCTATCTTTCTGTGTCAGCAGAGAAACAGACAATCCTCTTTTCAAAAGAGACTTTCTGTTAGAGACTAAGTTTGTGAGTGGCTGTGATTGTTCTTAGGAAGGAAAAAACAAACAGCTCATCTCATGTTTCTGGACCCAGGTTGGTTTCTGCTCCTTTAATAAAAACATTTTTTTAAATCCATTTCTTTATTTTGTATTTTCAGTCCTGAACACTTATAGAGCCACAATTTCTAGAATGTAATTATCAGTCTAACAAAGTTAAAATCCCAAGTCTGAATGGTATACCACCAGTGGTATGAGTTCAGGAAATTTTGCTACAGAAATTACTCATTACTATTAACTAATTACATCATGAAATATCCATATAAATGAGCTGCTGCTCTAACTTCTTAAAACTGTTTCAGCTTGCCACAGTCTGTCTTACACACAGACTCGCTCTCTCTCATATACACTTGCCTTCCCCAGTTTTCCAGAAGCCAACTTGGTTTTGTCATGCCACTTCTGAAGTGTGCGGTTCCTGTACACCGTAAAGTCAGCAAAGCGCTTTGCCATGAAGCAGGGATAGTCGTCCATTTCCAGTTTCCTCTTTGCTGGGACCCTTCTCCGTTGCTTTTCTTCCATAACCAGCTCATCATCTTCACTAGAAATCTCCTCCTCACTAGGAAACCAGTAAGAACAGTAGGTCCAATGTAAAGAAACACTAACAAATAAAAAGGCAGGCACACATAAAGTGGAGCGCTTACTTAGGCCTTTGAGTATTCTGTCTACATTTTAAACAGCACCAACTGGATGAGGAGAGCTTTTTTGTTTTTTTGAAAAAAAATATTCATGAGATCAATCAAAAACTCATGTAATTTTTCAAATAAATATAAAAAGAACTGCTTTTAATGTATATGCAATTTTTAAAAGGTAAGCAAACCATAAAACAAATGAGGTTGTAAAAACATTATTAGAAATGCATATGAACAGGCTCTGCCCTGTTAGAAGAGGACCTTTAAAAATTAAACATACAATCATATGTCTATGACCCTAATCTCCATATCAACAAGGAAAATGTGTCTCCCTCTAACCAACTATTCAGCAAAGCTGAATGTTAGTTGAACCAAAGGAAGAGAAGCTGAAATGTGAAGAAATCTTAAAGAGGTAGACAACAGAATGGGCAGTAAACTGTAATAAATGCAACTGCCATGACAATGGAATCTAATCCATACTGTGGCACCAACTGCACTGGATTACTTTTGCCAACACACAGTTGCTGCTGCTGCTGTGTGTCTCATAAAGTCAGTTCCGAATCATACTAACTCTGTATAGGGTTTCTGAGAGCCGATGGTAGGTCTAAACTGCCGACCTTACAGCCCAGTGCTTTTCCTACAGTACCACACCAGGGTTCCCAACACATTGTGGTGGTGGTGGTGGTGATGGTCATGTGCTGTGGAGTCGATTTCAAATCACAGCAACCCTCTATTGGGTTTTTGAGGCTGTAAATCTTTACGAGAGCAGAAAGTCTCATCTTTCTCCCATGGAACAGCTGGTAGTTTCAAAATGCTGACCTTGAGGTTAGCAGCCCGACCTGTAACCACTATACTACCAGAGCTCCTCTCAACATTTAGTAGGTGCTCAATAAATGTGAAAGCCTTGGTGTGGCACTGTAGGATAAACACTGGACTGGTAGCCTCAAAGTCGGCTGTTCAAACCCAACAGCTACTCTCAGAAAACCTACACAGGGTTACTCTGAGTTGGAACCGACTCAGAAGCACAAAACAACAAGAAGAAGAAGAAATGAGAAGTTCCTGTCTTTTTCCTTGTAACTAGTTCAGTAGAAAAGGACAAGTCGATGGGGGAAAGAGCAAGCACATATCTTACACGGCAAGCTCAAGCAGAGGGAGAGGATTATTGTTTGTTGTTAAGTGCCTTTAAGTCGGTTCCAACTCACAGCAACCCTGATTGGGTTTCTGAGAGGCTTTTAAAATTTTTGTGAGAGCAGAAAGCCTCAAGTCTTCATTAAATGGGATAATTTCAGAAAAGAAAAACTTTACATTGCTGTTCTTTTTGGAATTTCTCCCTCCCTTTAAGATAAATGCTTCTAACCTCACTGCAGAGGAGATGGTTGTGACCAATGATTCCGTGATATGGGTACAAAGTACTTACAGATATCAGTCAAGCATTGATATTAAACATGTGTCTTTATCTATTGGTTTCTATCAATCTAGGGAGAAGGCAAATATTTTGCTTTAGCCCATAAAAAGAATCCAGATACTTAGTTCCCAACTTATGTGCCATCCTGGCTACCAGGATGCAAGAGGCTTTTTCTGTAACTTTTAACATTACATCTGATACCAGTCTGGAAAGAACTTAGCTTCCTTTATCATAAATGATAGGAAAAGTGTCCAGATGAATGCTACCTATAAGCAATTCCATAGTTCCACTCCCTCCTTACCTTTCGGTTTTGGGCTTTGTTCCATCAACTAGGTATCTAGTGTCTGGGTACTGGAGAAGCAACTCTTCCTGAAGACCCACCAATGACCTCAACAAAGCTTTAAGTGCCTTGTGACCTGGGAAATAAAACACAGAGAAGGGACAACTGACTACAGTTCTTCAGAGTAGGTACTGCTTGTAACTCCTGACTCCTGAATACTTCTGACTGGGGGTGAGGGGTGGCAGTGGGGCCTACCTTTTTATTTGGTAGTGTTTCTGTACATTAGACCTAGTGCTCTTATTGGTTTCGGTGTGAGGAGGAGATTTCTAGTGAAGATTATTTTTCTTTGAGGTTATGCTGTAATTTATTATTTTCCCCCCTGCTTAATACAGACTGTTTTACCCTGAAATTGATT